CGACGAAAACCCCAAACAAACACCGAATTCCCCCACCCCAATCATAAATTGTTTTCGAACCTCGATCTTCCGTAAAGAAGACTCAAATTTGTAGCCCTCAGACGAACTTTACCCATCGTCTTCCATATTCCCCAAAGAAAAATTGCAGAGAGCAGTGGAACCTAGTGGAAGCGGACGAGAAGAAAATAATTTAATTTGAAATATTAACATATAATTTGTTGGAAATAAGTGTTGACACTCTCAGTGTTTGTGTTATCGCGGTTAATGGCTTGTCGAGGATTTATGAACAATACTGTACTGTAGGTGAGTATCTTTGTTCATTTAGTTTTATGTTCATATTGTGTTCTGATTTTAGCTGGTATATTAATAATATGTGTCATGACACGATAGAATACATGCGGATAACTTTAGAACGACAGATGACGCCATTGGCCGATATTTATAGTAACTACCATCTTGTTTGACGTCATTGGGGGATTCCCACTTTGTTGTCGTTCACGGTGACAACACGACCACAAAGCACTATTGCAGTATTTTTAAAGCCTGTAGCCTACAGTGGCCTGGTGGCGGAGTGGTTAGTGCGCTTGTCTCCAAAGCAGAAAGTCAAGCTTCGAGACTCGGTTCGGCCACGGATTTTTTTTTCGTCCACCCACCTTTAATGGGTACCTGACTTCGAGTTGGGAAGTAAAGGGACGTGAAGCAAGGTGGTTGTTACTATAAATATCGGCCAATGACGTACATCTGTCGTTCTAAAGTTATCTGCATGTCGATAGAATCAGTCGCTGGTCAATTCTGTGGTATGTGCAGTTATAGGTATCATCATAAAACATGTTCATTTGTCCGTCTTTTGATGAAATATATATTTATCAATTCTGATTAGAAGTTGAGATATTTGCGAAAGAGGGAGGTGGGTGTCGTTTGATTAGCGAAAAATAACCGTCAAAGTTTGGTGACTTCCATTGCTTGAGAGTCCTTGGAAACAGAAATTCTGCATTTGTTGTGCCTTTAATAAACGTTTTTCAGTAAAAACCCATACTGTAATGTGATTTTAAATGGATATAAACGATGTTGAGTAAACCCCCCCCCCCCAACAAAAACGACGAAGAAGCGAGGGATTTGATCACGGACCAAAATTTGTGGGACTTGTATGGCGAGATGATGCTACCGAAAGAATGATTATGAAACCTTTGGCAATGTGGAGGTTTGGCGCTTTTAGTTACGTACAAATCTTTTGACTTGTTTTGTTTTGAAGTGTGGTTACTAATGAAAAAAATAAAATGCACCAACAAAGGTAGTGCACATTACGGTTGTCATAAAAAAACAAAACTGGCGTGTCTTTGCCGAAGAACATAATATAATCCATACCAAAAAGTTTATCTTTCAGGCCTACCTGCTTCTTTTTAGAGCATTCATCATTAAACGTGATAATGATAATACAGTTCGACACAGACCATCAAAATAAAATACGTTTGTTTATCAAGGTCGCGAGTCGAATTGGTCGTATGTCGAATCGGATCGTATATCGAATTGGCTGTGCGTCGAATATTGGATTGTGAGTTGAATCGATCGTATATCGAATTGGATCGTTTGTCGAATCGGACCGTACGTCTAAATCGGTCGTATTGTGCACTGGGTACTAAGTGTGGCTGTGTTTCATCCGTGTCTCCCAGGCAAGACTCTCTTCTCCGGCTACTTCAACCAGCTGGAGGAGAAAGATCCCGCCACGACAGGCCAGTTCTCAGAGGACGGCTGGTTCGACACCAACGACAACGGTTACTTTGACGGCAAGGGAAGCCTGTACGTGATTGGTCGGAATAATGACGTCATCACTTATGGGGCTTGCCTGGTGTACCCTGGTTGGCTGGAGCAGAAGATTCTGGCTCACCCAAAAGTCCGGGACGTGTGCTTGGTACCTGTAAGTGAGCGGATGATTGTGGGTGAAAGTAGAGTATAGCTCTCTCTCCTCCCCCTCTCCCGACTCATTCCAAACTGCTTGACTGATTTGCTTAAAAGGGACAAACCCAGGGTCACAGTGGGGTTGTAGCTTTGTTTTACGACAACAGGAAACAGTTTGGGATCGTCTTGATTTTTAATGGCTTAGGGTGGGGGTATTCTTTTTTTTAATAGACTAATGGAACTTCCTAGCATTTTTTTTTACAAGATAAGCCTATGCTTTAGAAGGTCCAGACGTACAGGGTGATAAAAAAAACAGTACAGTTTTTTTCTGAATACCTCGCACAAAAATTGTTCTAGAATGCTGCAATTTGGAGCAGACATATTTCATTCAAAAGGAATTTGTTTGACATAAAATCCACAAAGAAGACACTTATTTTGAAAACAGAAATGGCTTAAAGAAAATAGCAAATCAAAAACGCAAAGCTCACCAATTTTTTAATTTTATTTTGTTAAGGAAGTCGTGAAAAGATTGGCTGACCTTTTTCTTTATTTTTTCTTTGACATTTAATTTTCTATGCCTGTGACATGTAAACATTATTTAATTTATTTTACAGACTGAGAGGAAACTAACGATTTCATCCTGAAATTCCTAGAAGCAGTCTGAATGCTCTAGATGCCCACTTTTGGACACATTTTTAACGCGTCCTCCAACATGTTCTATGGCGCCCAAACGCAAGGACCTGCTAAACCATGAGTTTTTAAAGCTACATACACTGTACCTATTCAGTATGAAGTGGCTTCTGGAGACAATAGGGAGTGGTGTACCCAATAGACATCATTTTTTACCTTAACATATCCCTCAGGATGAAAATGACGTTTGAACTAAACCAAATGTCTTCGAGGAAATGATCCCGTTTTTCAAGACAATCGAGGAATCATGAGCACATTGCCTTGCTCTGATTCATGTCATCTCGGCCTAGCAAAGATCGAAATGGTACAGTCGTATGTTAAAATCTGTCATGAGAATGCAGACTGTTGAGTTGTAGGAAAGTCCAAGCTGCAGATCGTCTACAGACAGACGTCGCATAGGACTCGGCTACTGAAATCTGCACCCTGGTGACGCTTAAAGGGCTGTGCATGGTGCGTGTTGGACACCTGAAGTCGTCATTTTAAAGGACATTTTTAGTTCTCATTCGCTATAGATCCAGACTGACGGAACTTTACTACTCATGACGCCAAAGGTCTTGAGGGCACCTAAGCATTCTCTCCATGCCATCAATGTCAAGGATGGTGAGATTATGGAGAGGTAATGCTCAATACAAAAAACACTCTGCTCTTTCCTAAACGTCACCATGATTTCAGCAGGCAAACGAAATTTGAGTAAAATAAAATCTACAGACTTTTGTTGACTTGTTATACCGGGTGCCCACTACGGCTGGGATAGGCGGATCAGGCCCCGATCGCCCGATTCGATCGCCTCAAAAACAAACGTGTTTGTTTTCAGTTTCAGGCGACCGAGTCGGGCGATCGGCCATATCCAGCCGTAGTGAGCACCCCGTATTAGGCTGCAATATGGCGCGATTATTCAAACTTTCAGTGGTAGGCTTAATGCGAACTGGTGCGTCATGCTATGATGTAGGTCTTTTACGTCTCCACAAACGAATAAACCAGCGTGATAATGTCTATAATATCATATTAAATAATTCTATTATTATAACCAGGTTCCCCACCCTGTGCTGCATCAAGACATCTGCGCATGTGTACTGGCGGCCCCCGATAGCCAGCTGACCCAGGACGAGCTGAAACATTTCTGTGCACAGATTTGCTTCTCTGACGGCCACGAGGAAAAACCCCTCATCCCCACCTACTTCATGGTATATATATACAAGCGTATACATGTAATATACAGCACGAAAACGTTACGGTTTTGTTTATGTTTCTATCTGTGCGCACAAACAAAACATTCTGATCATAAAAATTATTAATATTTTAATAATTTTCTGATTATAATTTAT